CTCACGCGCGCGCGCCCACATTTGCATCTGACAGCTCGTTAGTCCATATTCACACCGGGATTTCTTTTCAATGTATCTGTCCAGCAGGGTGTATCGTCCTATGTCCTTGCGGAAGATTCCTTCTCATTTTCACATTGGCAGGCTTCTCAATTGATGCACACATGACACTGTTCAATTGCAGACGTGAGCTCAAATCCAGCAGCGACCACAATAAAATAGTTCTGATTTACAAAGGATCCGATGGTGTGCTTATGCCTTGGCCGATGCCCCCCCGAATGCTGCGCGTCCCTCATGTTCTAAAAACAAACACCCTCAATGTCGCCCAGGCCAGATAATGGCCGTGCCTGGGGTGGGGCTGGCACTGGGCCGCGGCTTCGCTGTGGCCGGTTCACTTGTAAATAACAATAGACATCGAGGAAAAGTACGCATAGATATACAATATTATGGACTTCCATTTTATCAAATTTATTGTCAGGCAATTAGACGAAAGTTCCGAACTGTGGACATGGTAAGCAGTATTTTGCTACCAATTTTTTTTTTTTTGGCCAAATCCTTGACATATCCTGTCACAGTCAGGTGCTGTAAGAATGTGCGACTTGCCATACAAAACCAGCTGAGACCGTTGCTTGTGTGCTTTGTATGTTTCAAAGACCAGAAAAAAAAATTTGTTTTGTTTCTCATATTTGCCAATAGCCTAATACAACCTTTGCATGTACATTTGTCAGCCCATTTGTTGTGTTGCTTACATGACTGGTTTCTTGTTTATTTGTTTGTTTGTTTGCTCTTGGGATACATCGCGTCCTTCAATTATTGCTGCTGTCAGGGCCTCGGACTGCTATTGCTGTTCTGGTGGTTGGTGCAATTGTTGGCTTCTTGGCAATCTTGTTGCTTCTCTTTGTCGGCATACTTGCTATCAATGGCCGAGCCCGAAGATCTGCTAATGGGGCCGTGAAGCATGACAGTTTTGATATCTGCTGCCACCTAGTGAAGTCGTCCGATTCTGATAGAGGTATATGTCACACTATGCAAATGAAAAGCTGCCAAATTTGAACATCCCATGTAGTGCTTTTTGAACATGGAGGCAACTGGGTGTCCACGGCTATTGAAATCGCAATCCGCTTGGACAACCCCATAACCTCCATGCATATGGGTTTGTTGAAAGGAGTTGTAGAGTGGTTGTTAAAGCGGAGATCTGTTGGTTCGGCTAGTTGCCTCTATCATTGAATGGACTAGGGGTATTCGGGTTACATTGATTACCAAGTTTAACACGTCGTTTTTGTGTTTCTTAAATCTTGTCTATTCAATGTGGTGTTATGCTGGTTCTTTCCCACCTGCAAGGTATATATAGTGCGTATATATTCAAACCCAATCTATTCATAGCATCCCCCTTATGTCCTTTTCCCGCATCCCCATTATGGCCAAGGATTCCTTCATCATTATTGTATCTCTCGTCTCGATAAATAAAAAGGAATCCTTGTACACTCGATCCCTCCAAGGATAGGCCGCCACCTCTCCTCCCTTGGACTGCATTATCTTGCCACAGGGAGTGTTATCCACCCAACTTGTCCCCTTTACAAAGTTGGTGTGACATCACCCCTCTGTAGCTGAGTGGGCAACACATGTAGCCATGGACACATAGATCATGAGTTCAAATCCGAATACATACTATGTTAGGCGTCAACTCCCCTACATGAATTTAAAAAAAAAGATGCCACCCCCCTATAGCTGCACTACTGCCACCTCTACCTGCTTTGCCAAATGCAAGGGAAGAACACTGACTTCAGAAATGGGGTCGCCACACCTGCAAATGTCGGATCCGGTCCCTTTCCCGCCTGAGTCGATGCGAGAATGCTGCAGGCAGGCGATCTCCCGGCACGTCAAAGCCTCACTCACGAGGAGCCCATAACGCCTACACTAACTCAACCGCTGATCTAATGTGAAAACTAACACTGCACGTGCCTCATCCCAAAACCCCACTTTCGATTCCTGGCTTGCGGGTGGGATGTGAGTTTTCCCCTCCTGCCATATCCACTCTCTCCTTCATTTTCGTCTTCGTATAGCCCTCTCCTACCTCGTCAGCTTCTGCAGCCCTGCACCGATCAGCGCCCTTCGGATGCTCGCATGGTCCGACCGTAACTCAGCTTTCAAGAGGAGAAAAATTCTCTCCTGTTGACCCCCACACTGTCTTATAACGAGTAAGTTGGTTGAGCATGTACGTGCATGAAGCTACCTAAGTCTGAGTGCACCTGCCCACACCCGGGTAGGTTTATTAAAGAAAGAGAATAAGAGAAAACTCACGTGTGAAAAAAAAAGAAAACTTCCAACTATACGCATCATCCACATGCAGGGACCGTGCTAATCTTTCTCTGTGCACGGAAAATGAGCGATAGCAAAATGACAGAATTCCAGAATGCAAAATCACATTGAAAGCCAGGAAGTCGAACACTGTCCAGAAAGCAGATATGCACTGATATTCCACCGACGGAGAATCCAAATGTCAATGAGAGCATACTCTCGCCACCGCCAACGTATGTATCCAGAACCCTTCCTCCTACTTGGCGGTCAGCACCCAGACTACGATCACACAGCCACAACTCAGCCTACGAATTGACATTGCTTCCTGTTGACATCAGCAGCAAGAACCGAAGTACATGAAGATGTCAACCCTGTAGACCATCGCCAAGACAAGGTACGCGCCCTCAAATCATCATCCTCATCTCTCTCTCTCTCTCTCTCTCTCTCTCTCTCTCTCTCTCTCTCTCTCTCTCTCTCTCTC